GCCAAAGACAGACCGGAAAAAACCAAGACACTCCTCCCTCTTCTCCATTGGAAGTAAATGGAGAGGGAGCAACGTCGCCTCCCGTGTGTCGGGCTCATTACTGATCGAGAAAAAGTTTTGCACAGTAAAAGCAGAATGAATTATGAGCTGTTTTATTTTTTTATTTTATAGTTGAGTGCTTGTCTACATTACGTGCATACCCACATACAGAATTTTATATCGATGGTTCTGGAAAACAACTACAATAAACTCTAAATTACCATGTGGTAAAACTCAGGATAACCTGTTTCATGACTGAATTCATAGTTGGTAGCTTTAACACTTAAAATGCATTTATTCCTTATAATAAAACTTTATTTTACTTTATTATTTTATTACTTCACTGTTTTTTTTCATAACTTACATTATGTTTTTTAGATTTAGAACCTAGGGCCTCAAAACCTTCAAACTGCATCCCTTAGATCTTTGGGCACCCAGTCTTGCACCCAATCAGCCTGTGAGTTTGTGTGGGCAGGTGTTTGTGTACGATCATAAGTGAGCCGGGAAATAGGGCTTGTATGAAATATTTGTGTATTGGTGCAAGCATTATTAGTTGTGTGTGTTTGGGTGATGTGAGAGTCTTTGTATGTTAATCCTTACCAGACCTATTTGTTGGCTGTTCTGGTAAAGAGGGCTGTGTGGACTGTGGTTGGCAGGACTGGCACAAAGACAGATTACAGTAAAGCAGCACAGTTTGTCACACAGCCTGAGCTGCTCTGAATGTTGCTTCTGTTTGTTGGGACTGGCTGCTGTTTGGAGCTCAGTTCTGCTCCAGGGGCGTGCATCAGATTTTAATCTCGGATTTCTGTTAAGGGCAATTCCATTCAAAGCATGTTGCAGTTTGTTTTGACCTGATCTATGTGGCTTTGATTTTCTCTGACTGGTGCAAAAACTTTAACATCCTCCTTCCCTTTGATTCTTTACACTCCTGTCAAGGAAATTCATTATGGCCGTTTGTATCTGGGATATCATTTATGATCTACACTCACCGGCCACTTTATTAGGTACACCACGCTAGTAACGGGTTGGACGCCCTTTTGCCTTCAGAACTGCCTCAATTCTTCGTGGCATAGATTCAACAAGGTGCTGGAAGCATTCCTCAGAGATTTTGGTCCATATTGACA